GGGGGGGGGGGGGGGGGGGGTACCCTCCCCAGGCCCTACACCCCATTGATACTTTTGAAAATAGCTCAGAATATCATACTGCAGGATCTCTAGACATAGGACAATAGACTGAAATGCGGATCTGTGTATATGTACGGCCGTCTTCAGAAGGGATGTATGTGTTCCACACAACTGCCTGTGAGTTTTACTGTAATAACCGCAATGAATTATTTACCGCTGATTCGCACAGCTGTTCATTTGTCCCGCATGTACATCACAGTCACTCAGCCTGTCCGTAACGAGACGGATAAAAGAGGCGTGTTTCCTCACTCGAGAGCCGGCGTGTGGAGGTGCTACGTGAGTTCATGAGGTCACCCCTCTCCAGACCCCCAGGTCGCCCCCGGCGAGGTAGACGGCGTCAGCCTGGAGGAGATCCGCGAGTTCGCCAAAGCATTCAAGGTCCGCCGCCTGTCCCTGGGCCTGACGCAAACTCAAGTGGGCCAAGCGCTGTCCGCTGCCGAGGGGCCTGCCTACAGCCAGTCTGCCATCTGCAGGTAACATCGTGTAACTGCATCCTACCTCCATCGCACTGAGAAGGTTGAGGGATTCTCTGCGGTTATTCCTTATTTTTGATGTATTTATTGTTCTGCATTAGTCTGCTTTCTCTATTTCAGCTTAATTTTGATAAAATATGAAAGAGGAGTAACAAATTAATATGTGCGAGTAACATGCAAAGTCCAGGTGTGTATTTCATTAAATACCAGAGGATCACATTACACATGCCTGTGGGATTCAGGAGGTTGAAAAGCCATAGGTCACATGACCTTTCCTGCTATTTATTTGCTAATTTTAATGCTCTTTTAAAACGGGTGTGCACAGCTGCCCTGTTTACATACCTGAATGTCTGCATTTCTTTTTGAAAGTTTCATCACATCTTCGTTTCTGGACATCAGGTTGAAGCTGCCTGAAATTCGGACCTTAAAATTGTGAGGGATGTCAATATCTCACACAACTTTCAAATATTTACGTCAGCTAAGGTCTCAAAAAGGAGTCACTTAAAACAAACTGTATTATTCATTTTGCTATTTTTTTCCCTGTGGGCTACAGGTAAAATAACAGCCGTTGAATAAGAAACATAAATTCCAGTGGCGAATCCAGTGTTTTTAAGCACTTAGGGCCTGGTGTCTTCCTGTCTGTGCAGAACCTTTACGTTGAGCACTTTGGTCTGTCCTGAGCATGAGGAGCCAGCAGCTGCACACCCACACAGTACATTAATGCTTCCCAATCCGGTCCTCAGGGATCCATAGACAGTCCACGTTTTTGCTCCCTCCCAGGTCCCAGGGAGATGGGAGGGAGCAAAAACATGAACTGTCTCTGGGTTTCTGAGGACCGGATTGGGAAGCACTGCAGCAGATGTTAAAACGCCAGAATACTGCAATAGACCTTCATACCATGACAACACCATGTGGGAAATGTATTTACATGAAACATTTTATGTCGGTCAGGTTATTCAAGAACATGGAAAGTTTTGAAAACATGTCAAAAGGTGTATTACAGTGAATCATGTTAAATGCACTTCATGTTCATGCTTTTCTGAGTTCCTCAATCAAAATTCCATGTTTCAAACGGAAATGTATTACTTTTCTTTGTTTAGCATATATAACAGCCACTTTAATTGCTACATGGTTTTATTTGGTCATAAGACTCTGATAGACTGTTAACGTATTAATGTATTTTAATAATAACATATGAATTATATTTTTATGCATGTTGTTCCTGTCTCTGTGTATGTCTTGGTATAATGGGCCAAATATTCACATGCTAAAGTCAAATTGATAAATTATCATTTATGCTTTTTTTTATCCAAATGCTTTACATAGAGACTGTGATATTATACCTTATTAGCTTGTGATGTTTATGGTCTCTGTTGGCTGGTGGGAGGGGAACCATTGTTTGTAGTTCTGGGGCTCTGGGGAAGACAAAGTGATGTGCGCATGGCTCGTGATGACTTCCTGCTGCACCATTGGCCTCTTCCGATAGCCACAGCAGGCAGGGCATACCGGGCCTGGTGGCGGTACCCTAGTAAGACTGTTCTTCTCTCAATTTCCCCCCCCAGACACACCATCCTGAGAAGCCACTTTTTCCTACCGCAGGAAGCCCAGGAGAACACTATAGCTAGCAGTCTGAGAGCCAAACTGAACCCCGGCCTTTTATATCCTGCCAGGTTTGAGAAGCTGGATATCACCCCAAAAAGCGCACAGAAGATTAAGCCCGTTTTGGAGCGCTGGATGGCCGAGGCTGAGGCCCGGCAACACTCGGGAATGCAGAACCTGACCGAGTTTATCGGCAGCGAGCCGTCCAAGAAACGCAAGAGGAGGACCTCATTTACTCCACAGGCGCTGGAGATCTTAAACATGCATTTCGAGAAAAACACGCACCCCTCCGGCCAGGAGATGACGGAGATCGCGGAGAAGCTGAACTACGACCGCGAGGTGGTGCGAGTCTGGTTCTGCAACAAGAGACAGGCGCTTAAAAACACGATCAAGCGGCTGAAACAGCCAGATATCGGGTCAGGCCTCAGCGTGGACATCACTGACTCGCTCATGGACACAGCGGAGAAACTCCCTTAAACACGGGATAAACCAGTGACCAAAAAATAGAGACTCCAGGGCTATTCCAGGGCCATGCCAAGATGGGAGCCATGGACTTGGCATTGAAACATGTCTTTTTTTTTCCGAAGAAAGTCAAAATTACCAGTGGACAGCTTTTTGGTGATTACGAATGAGACGTATAAAGTACTTTTTATGTTTAAAATATACCTGTGGAAATGTAAATCAGAAAGCTAGTTCTTCTGTGAATATCAAGTATACAAAAATACTTTGGTATGGAAGGTGACAACTGAAGTCTTTGTAGAAGTCTTGCATAAGGAGTTTAGTTTGATAATCAAATTTTGTTTAAGAATCAACCAACTGCAAACCAAAGTCTAGCTAATAAGTCAGATGCTAGTTACACACCTACTTTTTATGTGTAAATGTCTTCTAAATTTCTACATTTATACTGATGGAAAACAAACGATGACTAATCTAGGGGGCGGCGAAACCGCTTGAAACATTTATTTAACGTTTCGTTGCACTGTTGCTTTGCTATTTAAACTGATTTTTATATGAATGCAGTGAGCTTAACTGGACGGCCAACGGCAACTGTTTTTGCGATTTTTTAAAAAAAAATGTTTTTTCTTTCATTGGTTTCTCCCAAAGATTTCAGCTGCTGTAAGCAATCATTCCATTCAGCAGCGCGTGCAGTCTGCCCTGTATCTGTATTGCCCCCACGCCCCCCCATCTTCCTGTTTAATTACCTGAGGCAAATACGCAGAGTGATAATTACTCCTGTGCAGCAGATCCTCTTCTATCTTGTTTTTTTTTTTGTTGAATAATTTCCTACAAGGTATCGATTAGCTTATGAAACTCTATGGGGAAAATGGATGTGGATTTGCTGCAGTTTTAGATGATCGCATGTGCGGGAAGATGGGCCAGCCAAAGAACATCTATAACTATCTATAAAGCAGCACCTGCGTCCTTTGGTTATAATCACTGTATCTCTAACCACGTGTACAGTTTCGGGAATGAAGAAGGATCCCGCTGGTGCCCGTTTTAACACAATCGCAATAGTGGCTGTGAGTCTCCTCTCCTTTAAAACATTGATAATGTCACTCCGTCTATAAACGCTCGCCTGGGGTCAGAATGTGCCCCGGCCGGTGCTTATAGTAATAACATGCGTGCAGTTAGCGGAGAAGCGGGGCTCGCATGATTATTTTACAAATGCATTTAGACATAATCAATTATTTACAATGAGCAAGGCAGCCTGGCCGCAGGAACCCTCCGCCGTGTTTCTCTATTCCTGCGAAAACACATCAGACCCGAGGACCTCAATGAGAATGCATTATACCCCTAAAAGTGCACCATCGTACAAATAGAGCTTCATTTGATGTGAACTTATTGTCATTAAATGTGTCAGATTCTATTATAGCTTGACCCTGCAAGAAAAGTGGCGTTTTACGCTTTAAAACGTGACCATGTCTGCCGTTTCACATCTGTTAGTCTTTCAGCAAATCCGTCTGTTGAATTATGATTCATTGTTTGTTATTTCCAAAGTTATTTTGTATGAACATTGATTTTTTTTTTATTATGTTATACAAGTAATTATTTTAAATGTAAATAAAAGATTTGTTTTTTGTTCCAGTGAATATTTTAATATTGTCATAGCAAGGCAGGAACTTGCTGTTTGTATATGTTTGAATGGCTGTTTCTTATCTGTTGGCATTAATGTATGTGATCCGTGTACGTGCAGGGCGGCAGTAATCAGGAGGACTGACGTGTTTCGGTTCAATCTCTTTCCTGACTTCACAACACAGTCATTATCTAAGCGCAGGTGGCTGGCTAGCGGTGTTCTGCATGTGACAGGTTGTCAGTCTGCCACTTCTGATGCTACACGGATTCCTTTCCATTCCCGTTTCTTCTGGTGGGTGATGGAGGTGCAGTAACAGTATTCCTGGCAGCCTGGGACGAGAATTTTCGTTTTACAGGGTGGTTTGGCAAGACTCATTAATATTTATAAGAGAGGCCATTTGATTGGCCGGTGAACTCTGTCTAAGACATTCACTGGCCAATGTGGTAGCACCTCATGAATATAGATGAGTTTTCCGAATATCCCTGTAAAATGAAAATTAGCACCTGGGATTCCTTGCTAGTTTGTGTGCTACTTTCAGTTTATGTATAATCCAGTGAACAAGCTGACCAGTTTCAGATGTTCAGCTGCTAATGCTGCACATTAAAAATAATAATTTACTTAAGTTATTTTCATTGGCAATGCAAAGCAAATGACTCGTTTGAAAGTTCCCAAAGACTAGAACACTATTATCATCCAGCTGCCAAGTCTGACGGAGAATGATTCTCACCTCCCCTGGTTACTGAAACCTACTTTCAGTGTCTGTGTTTTTTTTAATTATCTTGTTTCAGTCACTTTATATTTGTGGTGTTTTATATTTTCACAGTGTGATAGTAAACAGAAGAAATCCACAAAACAAAAAATACATAACAGAATCTTTTGAGACAAGTATATGAATGATCTTCAAGAGATTATTTTATCATGGTGATATTTTATGCTTTATGAACCTGCCCCTTGACTTTGAAGAAATTATAACTGTTTATGCCGTTTCTTTTCAAATTTCTTCTGGAAATCTGTGGTCAGTGGGATTTATCCATTCAGCTTACAGTACGTTACTGCTCATCTGCTACAGGTTTGCAGTGGATAGGATTTTTGTGCTCTACAAATTGTCAGTTCTTTATATATTTATATATTGTTATGCAATGTTGTATAATTGCATGTATCCGTGTTGTCTTCTGTCAATTTAATTTTTGATCGACATTCATATGTTCTGACATTTTCAGCCTTTTCTGATGTCATGACTTTTTCCCCAAATCCAGAATACGGACAAAAGTATTGGGACACCCGCCTGTTACACCTACAGGAACTTCCATGACATCCCATTCTAAACCCATAGTCATCAACATGGAGTCGATCCCTCCCATTTGCTGCTGGAACAGCTGCCAGTCTTCTGGGAAGACTTTCCACAAGATTTTGGAGTGTGTCTGTGGTAATTTTTGCCCATTCATCCAGAAGAGCATTTGTGAGCTCAGGCACTGATGTTGGACATGAAAGCCTGGCTCCCAATCTCCGTTCTGCTTCATGGGGATGGGGTTGAGGTCAGGGCTCAGTGGGGACCAGTCAAGTTCTTCCACACCAGACTCACCCAACCATATCTTTATGGATGTTGCTTTGTGCACTGGGGCACAGTCATGCTGGAACAGAAAGGGCTCTTCCCCAAACTGCTCCCACAAAGTCAGAAGCATAGAATTTCCCAAAGTGTCTTGGCATGCTGAAGCATTAAGAGTTCCCTTCACTCAACCTAAGGGGCCTAGGCCAACCCCTGAAAAACAACCCCATACCATTATCCCTCCGCCATCAAATTTACAGTCGGGACAATGCAGTGAGCCAGGTAACGTTCTCCTGGCATCTGCCAAACCCAGACTCGTCCATCAGACTGCCAGACAGTGAAGCGTGATTCATCACTCCACAGAACATGTTTCCACTGCTCCAGGGTCCAATGGCAGTGTGCTTTACACCACTCCATCCGATGCTTGGTATTGCAGTCGGTGATGCGAAGCTTGCATGCAGCTGCTCGGCCATGGAAGCCCATTCCATGAAGCTCCCACTGCACAGCTTTTGTGCTGAAGTTAATGCCAGAGGAAGTTTGGAACTCTGCAGTTATTGAGTCATCAGAGTGTTGGTGACTTTACGGACTATATGCCTGAGCTCTGTTACTGTTGCTTCTCAACACTTCTACTTTGCAATAATACCACTTACAGTTGACCATGCAATACCTAGCAGGGAAGAAATTTCACTTTTCACTTATTGCAAAGGTGGCATCCTATGAGACTATCACACTTAAATTCAGTGAGCTCTTCAGAGCGACCGATTCTTTTACAACTGTTGCAAAGGGTCTGAATGAAACACCTGAATTCAGTGATTACGAGGTTGTGTCCCAATACATTTGTCAATATAGTACGTTATGTACACAGCAAGTATCGTGGAGAAATACCTTGTCAAACATCAGTCTGATTCTGTTCAGTATCATTTTATGTGCATTATCAGTGATTATAATAATGAGTACTTATTATAGTTTAATGCACATTTTCGGGAAAGTTAAGATGATTTACACATGACTGCACATTTCACAAGCAACTGAAACAACTGAAATATCAAAGTATTTAAAAACTGGTTGCAAGAGACTAGAAAGGTCCAAACCGAATTTTATAACACTTAGTAATAATGGCGTCATTGTTTCACCCTCTTTCGTTTATTGGAAGGTTTAATTTGTTTTATGTTTTCCTTTTGGAGGACTTTAGTAGAGGTGTGGTAAGCACTGTTCGGGTCCTCGTGCGTAGCTGTCAGCTTACATAATTAATCCGCACATGAGAGTAATGAGAGTAACGAAATGTTAAACTCATTAATCTCAACAGATGGACAGCTACCTGTTTACACACCTAACCCGCTTTACTCAACAGAATTCTAACCGGGTTACTGCCAAAAACAATCGTTTGTACTTGGAAATATGAAATGGAGAAATTTTATCAAGGGGGTGGTATATAAAACGAGAAAACCAACAATGATCATTTTATTACTTAGAAATCAGACCGTGTTTTAAACCATGTTAAAATCTTCCCGTCTTCCCTGCCTTTGCATCCTGTGTGTGTCTCTCTTTGATCACCCATTAATGTTCGCATATGAAGGACTCCATGGCAATACTGAAACCAAAACAGGGAGCAAGTGCACCATCTTTTCTCTAGCTGGACCAAAGCTCGATCTACTGTAGTCACAGTATATGCACACTGTACAGATATGGCTTAACGTGACAATCCTGCAATATGAACTGCTGTTTAAAAGTTTAAGATGTATCAATGGACAAATAGAAAAGGACTCTTTTACCTCAGTACCCAGTAAGCAATGACGCATGACACGTGATGTAGACATTCAAAACGGAGGTAAATGGACATTTTTATCGGTACATTTCGGTAAGCGGTGTCGTCAGTGTGAGAGGTGTGTTTAATCACACCCGAAAGACATGGTTGTCTGCATTGTTTTCTTCTGTGAAATTGTTTCCCAGATCTGTACAGTGCTGTTGAAGTATTTGCTGTTGTGTTTCTTTGCTCGATTTCTCTCCATTCTGAAGTTTACGCTGCTTAACGTTCAGTCAGCAGACAATACCTTTGTGATCTAAACGACAAAGACTCAACACAGGTTTGTTTAAATGTATATTTGCCAGAGGTGGAAAGTTCAGGTTCAGAAAGTACAAGTCCAGCCAAGATTTCGTTTCAACCAACCAGTTGAGTACTCTGTGAATGTGACTCTTTATACTCTATTGGGTGGTTGAAACAAAATCTTGGTCTGGATCTGTATTTTCTGGACCTGAGCTTTCCATCTCTGATAGTTTCATAACTAAAAAGCCACATATGGAAGTGTAATTAAGCAGCCAAAATTAATGAACTTTCACTTTCCTTTAATCTTTTAGATTAAATCTGTACCTGATCTCTGGAGCAATATCTGTATTGTTAATAAAGTCAGTGTTGCTATATGACTTCACTTTTGGTCTTTGTTCTATAAACCTGAGGGTACCACCAGTGCCCCCTGCTGTCTTTTTTTTTGTCTGCAGAGTCAGATTAATAATCTTGCAATCACATCGTGTAACATACATGAGACACCATGTGAATGAGGATTACATCATGCCATTGGTCTACCATCACTCCAGCACCATTTACATTTATATATGTGGAAGATCTTAGATGATAGCAAGACATAGTCTGTCGATTAGGAGCTCTTTGGAGGGCACGTCTGATAACTGGAAGGTCGTGAAACATTCAGATTCTTCTCAGCTACGGATGAGTGAATGAAGATCAGGAGAAGTCTGGGGTTGGCGTGGTGGTTTGTGGGATACTGTATCAGATGATTAGTATAGATATAGAAAGATGGAAGGAAGAAAGGAAGAGGAAGAAAGTCAAGGTCAACCTCAACAAAATGCAGGTATTATGAGTCAGTGTCTCTCCCAAACTTCCATTAAATTTCCTCGTTTATTGCTTGCTCATCTTCTTCGAAGACTCCAGCCCGGCTTAGTGGCCTATCGCCTGCTCCGAAAGTCTACTGAAGCATGTGACAGACTAAAACGACTTTCAGAACTGGGGGGGGTGTGAAATATTATGACATGTCTGCAATCTGAAAGGATTACAACCTACATATCAGCCCAGAACACAGAACAAAGTGGCATGCAGATGGGTCTGAAATTGCTGCTTTGTCTGCCAGCGGCGGCTCAGCTGTTTATTTAGCTTATCTCTGGAGTGGCACCCGGACAGCCCAGCGTTCTTGGTAAATGAACTGTCAACATCACCCACTCTGAACCCTTACTGTCCTGGCAGCCTGCAAGGTCGAGTCTCTGGAGAAATGCCTGTTTCTGCATAGATCTTTGATATCTAGCAGGACAGGAGGGATGACAGCACTCGCAGTCACTTTACCACGATTTGGGATGTAACGAGCTTGAGGACACGCTTTGCACCTGGTAAACCTTAATTAATTATTTTAATTAAAGCTGATTATTTAAGTTTATTAACACTGACTCCTCTTGCCG